ACAATCTTTTAAAAACCATTAAACACTTCATCACATAAACTCTAAGCACTGCTTGAAAACAGAGGACCGTTCTCTTTAATAGACCACCAGGGGTTTGCAAAATATAAGTACCTTAAGACCTCTACATCTAACCCCTAAAATACTGCATCACATTCCAACCATTTAAACCCTCATCAATTTAGAGAATATTTATGTTTCCAGCAGATGAACTTTTCAGAAACATCCTACCGGTAGAATACCCTTCATCTAAAAATGTGAGCCTGATCCATTTTTTATTGATGCAGCATCAAGCTGCTTCAAACAGATGAGCCAAACAGCTAGCCAGACACGGGAACAGGACAGAGAATGAAATCAAGTTACAAAACAAAACAACTCACACATGTTTGTACTGTGAATAAATCTGGAGGCTGGAATAAAAACGCACAATTGATCAGACTTTGTAAAGTCACCTGTGCATTGAGCTAAGAAATTCAAAAACATTATCTCCACCCAAAGCCAAGCAATGATCCAGTCAGCAGTAAAATAAAATCTTCTATTGGGACACTACTAGGTTAACTACACTTGCTCTAAATTTAAACCTGATAGTTAGCTTTCTGAGATAATACTAAATATAACCATCTTCCAAAAAACGTCAATGACCCATATCACACATGCTTAAGCTATTTTTAAGACTTTAAAAACTGTGGGTACATCTGATTTGATCATCAAGCTTGACACAGACTGGCAACACTGTTACTTGAAAGTAATCAGATTCTTAAGTAAGCTGATTTGTGGAATCTAATCTAATTGGCTATTCAAACTACCTCCGCATGTGATTTTAATCTGAATTGCATTTTATGGATGACAGAGCACGACTGTTGCTGCAAAAAAAGAAGACTTTGGATTTTGTTTGAAGTAGTAGTTAATCATGATCTTTGCAGACCAGGCGCTTTATTGTAGTACTGTAATACACAAGGCTACAAATGAAGTGATGCAGCGGTGAGGCTCTTTGGAACCGCGGCCAGGAATGAGCCGCCGCAACCAACCCATGCATCGCTATACACCCCTGAAAGAAAATGAGCCTTTTCACAATAAGCTCATCAGGTCTGCATCACCAACACAGCTGGAAGGAAGAAGCGATGAATCTCTGTTAGACGTTTTTTTCCAATCCATCTTCTGCTGCATAATGTTCAAGTGTCTTGCCTTTCCCACTCTGCTTCAATTATCAGGCTATGCCCAGCTGAGATGCAATAATCCAAACCCTCATTCCCTGCAATTTCCACACTCGTCTCTCCACACTCGCTTGCCTTAAGTTCACTACCGCTTATGTAGGTGCTTCTATCCTAACCTTGAAGATCTGAGAGACAGGAGCTCTGACTGCAGTCTGAAGGGAGGGGATTTACCCTAAACAGCCCCTCAGTACTGCAATATTCAAATGAAAAAAACCTGTGCCGATGCGATCTAATTTTAGCCTCCTGAAATTAGAATCCACTCGAGAGGTAAAGTGGTGTAGAGGTTTGTTTGTCAAAATTCCAGCCTGAGTCCGTCGGAACGAAAATTCATCCATAAAACGTGACACTAGAACATCCTTCAAATGCAAACCTGCATGCAGAAAAGTTATGAAGATTTGGTTTAATGCTTTAAACATTCGTTTCCACGATGGAGAAGTGATTCTCTCTTTAAAATAGATTATGGCTCATCACTTTAAGCCGAACCCTGTCGGAAATTCAGAGACCAATTTAAAATATCTTAATCAGAAAGTGTAAAAAGTAGTGCTTTCACTACTTTCTTTGGAGCCGACAGGAAACCTTTTGTCACCTAATTATATCAACAACTGAATCCAAATAAATAACAAAAAGCTGTTTTAGGAAAAGAGGAAATCATTTGGTGAGGTCATTCATAGAGTTAATGTCAGAAGATGCAAAAGTAACCATCCGTGGCAGTATGCGGTGAACATTTGTGAAAAGCGCCACTAATGGAGAGGCATTTATTTGGTATTTTAAAGGGACCACAGCTGGCATAAAGGCAACAAATTTCCCACAGAGGGCTGTGGACATTTCATCGGGGCAATGCCAAACCTCATTCTGCCCCACTTACAAAAGCATGACTTCATGGACATACAATGTGCCTGAGCGACCTGCTAGCAGTCCAGATCAAACTACCAACTAAATGTGTGGCGAATAACAAGGCAATGAGGCCTCCTGCAAAGCAGAAGGGAAAATAAGGATCAAAGAAAACATTTTGGGGGTGTTTTATTTATGTGTTTCTGGAAAATGTCTCAATTTTTCTATTCTGTTTATCTTAATAGTTATAATATACAGCTTTAAAATGCAAACATTGGAATATTTATATATGCAAACGGAGATGTACTGATAAGGCCTTTGCTGGACAATACCTATTAGTGTTTCCTTTTGGATCTAACTTGCTGACTTTCATTGTTTTTTTAAGGGACTTTAAAAACTTAAGAGTTGAATGGCAGTACTTAATTAATAGAGGCAAGGAGTTTCAGTCAAACTAAAAATTAAAAAAACGCAACATATTTACACAATTATTCACCGATAATTTTCTGATACCAAAGTCAAAAAACTGCCTCAGAGTAGTTGATGGCGGTTGATGACATAGACCAGATAACCGATAAGTAGGGGGATGAAAAATACATTTGCATCATTTAATATGTTGATCAGATCACTTATTTCGTCTGAAATAATGCTGAATATATCTGGCATTTTGATCTGGGCATGGCTATAAAGAAGGGACTGGAAACCATGAACCAAAGCTATAAAAAGCATCAATCCAATGTGCTCACAGCTGCGTCATGTTAAAAACCTGGAAGGTGCTGGAAAACCGGTAAAAGAACAGTAAAAATAAAAGTAAAAACTTGTGATGAAGATCAGGGAGTAAAGAAATTGAATTGTATGAGTCCAATCTAAACGGGACGACTGTGTTGGGATTACGGGTGTGGCCCGTACACGACAGAGTACATTAGGTGGCCACCTCATTAATTTTTTAATTTACGATCTAACAACCAACTAAATGCCTTGGAATCAAATTCTAAAGCTCTATGAAATCAGATGATTATCAACCAAATGAATTAGAAAGTAGGTCAAGCCATCGGTTTCACTTTCAGCTTCACATCCTACCTGCCATTAGCACAGTCAGGGTGTCTGCATAATGTTGCTTGAGATTAGGCAACATTATCACTGGGTCACTAATTCTGTAATATGTTCAAAAGAATCTTCATCAAATGATGTATTCAGCTGAGATATAAACAGATGAAAGTGATGTTAAACTTATTTATCTGAGGCAGCCTTTCGTAGTAGCATTGACCATAAAGCTCTGTCTAAAAGAATTAATTGTCCCAATACAGTATTGATATTGAAATTCGGTCCATTATAGGCCAAAAAATGGATTCCTGTTATCAGAAAGCTCATTGAAACACTTCCCCTCCACATAGTTTGAAATATATCTAAGTCTTTGGTGAATAAGAAATGGGTCGGTTCTTCTCATACTGACAGTTTTAAGTATTGCTTTCTGTTTGAGAAATATCACTCTATCAAGCCTTTTCTATCATTCCACACTATGAAATAAGTAATACAAGTAGGCATGATTGATGCTGATATTTAGTCAGGTCAATATCGGTCAAAAGTGGAAGATTCTATATCTGTATCGTGTTGGAAATGAAGAAGTTGTATCAGGACATCCCTAATCGCTCGTGTTTTCTGAGGGCCGACCTTATCAGATCTGACTTCTTATTAAATTAAACGGATTACAAATGAAGGAAGTTGGTTTGCTGTTGAAGCCAGAAAAGTGGGCAGACAATGTTGGCCATCCATTTAATGTCCACATATGTTACAGCAATCATTCGTCAACATATAGAGGTACGCGCCTTTTTAGTAAGAATACATACTGCAATGATGCAGTTTAGTTTTTTCAACAAAAAAAAGCCAAAACTTTTACAAAATAATGTTTTATCTATCTATTTTGTACTCTGTCTCTTGTTTTACTGAAGAGCACTTAGAAGCATAGTCCTTCTCGGTTGAATGATGAGGTATCACCAAAGTCATGGTCGCAGCTCCACAGGTCATGTGTGACAGCTCTGTTCTTGTTTCTTTTGTCATTTTTCCTCAGTTTGTGTCTTTGCCTTCACAGATAACCCACTACAATGACGCTCTTTGTGGATTCACACAAGAAACGCTTTCAGGAAACATAAAGCTCGATTGTTGACTTTCTCTAGTGGCACACGAGACAATGGATGTGCTTCAGATTAATGTCCTGTAGCGTTTATTTCTAGAGGAAGCGATTCAGAAGAAGGGGGATCCAAGCTATTGTTACTGAAACTCAACCATTGGCAAACAAGAGAATTAAGACATTAATATATATCTATAAAAGTAGCAGGTATATATTTAAGAGATTCTTTAAACACACCCAGCATTTAATAGTGAGTTTCTCTGTGACAGAGAAAAAAAATACATCCAGCAGTATATTTCACCACCCAATTACACTTAACATCCTAAGCAGCTCCAACACTTACACTAAAACAAATTTTCTCTAAAATCACCTCGTTGCAAATCCTCTGCAATATCAGTCTCTGCAAGCAGCTCCTGCATGTCGCAGCACCTGATCACTGAAGCCTAAACACGCCTCATTTATGCATTATTTATCCATCGGACAGTAATGCAAAACATGATTAACATTCACAGCGGTGCGCTTTAATTGCAAACAGATCAATAAAACATGTCTCTGGTCTAAACTGTGCTTTGTTCAACATCTTTACTGCAGCTCTGCTCCATAATCCCAGGTGGAGGGCTCAGGTTTCAAGCACCAGATGTGAGGAGCACACAGAGGGGAGTTACATCCAAGACCGGACTGAAACATTTTTCCTGGAGACTCCATTCATAAATAAGCCCGGGAACAACACACACAAAAGCAGAAGACATCCAACAACTGATGTTTGGGTGAAAGACAGAGACCTGGTGGGGGTTTATAGAGAAAGGGAAAAGGTTCAAGGGATCAGTTCTTACCTGATGTACTGAACTGACTGCTTCCAAGTGTGGTGGGTCTATTTTTCCCTCCGCTTACAGGTGGAGAGAACATCTGAAAAGACAGGACATACATCTAAAAAAAAATGGCAGTCTATGTAAAAACAAAGGTGAAATGATAAGGCTTCCTTTGGCCAATATAAATCTCCCATTTTCTTTGAGGATTAAAAGGATTAGAAGTCATAAAAAAGGAAGTTTGCTGCAAGTTGTTTGATATAACCATTTTTATTTCATATGAAAAAGGAAGGCATTGCCTGAATATTCAAATTTATGCATTAAATCGCATCTTTAAACCCTGATTTCTACTGAACTTACCAAAATGCATTCAATAGAATCTAGTTGATTAGTGAATTAGGTATCAAAGAACAATGAATTCTTAGTTTTGATGCATTTGGTGAACAACAAAAGAAGAATCAGTTCTTGTTTTGACCTGCTAATCAAGAGAAGAACATGCCAATCTGATCCCATGCTGACTAATTGGTGCCACTCCAACACAAAAGTAACTCCTTTGATAATCAAGTAAAACAGCTCCGGTTTATTTTACATCTGAAATTATTATTTCATAATGACACATAGCCACCGTGTCCACTGTGCCTGCATTTTCCTCACAATTTCAACGTATTGTTCTTAAGTTATAAACAAAATATAAAAAATATATATATATATTAGGCACATAAAATGAGTGGCATTAACATTTATTCATGAAACCCTTTAAACATTGGAGTGATGTTGCTGAGGTTAAAATGTGCTGACTGTGAGGATATGGATCTCCCTGCAGAGCCAAACCCCACAGGAATAGAAACCTGGGAGAATTTTTATACAAAAAAAACACAGAAACATTAGCCTTGATAGTTTAAAATGAAAACACAAAGACTGGTGTATTTTTTTTCTTTTTTATCTTCAGAGTTTATGTTGTGGCCAAGCTTTGATGACAGAAAAAAAAAACATAAATCCACAAAGGCCACAGATTCTCCATGAACTAAGTAATTTATGCAGGCAAAAGAAAAAAAAATGTTCCAGGTAAACTCCTTTAGTTTTATCAGTTTATTTTCTTCTCAGGCAAGCAAACAGAAAAAAGACAAACATTTCCTCCATGTTTCTCTTGCGCTTTTCTCTTCACCATATGCCCACCCAGATGCATGCTGCTCCTACATTTGACAGCCTATTTATAAAAATAATAAACATGACTAAATAACCAAAAAAACATAATCTCACAACAGATATCAAACAATGAAGTAAAATAAACTTAGCTACATTACGCACAAAAACAAAAAACTTTGTTAATTATTAACAAAACAAAAAAAAAA